TTACTCTGCTGCATTGCCAGATTGCTGAGGCTGTTAAGTGTGGCAAATGCTTTTTGCCAGAATATCAAATATAAATCAAAGCACAAACTGTCGACTGGGCGACGGGCCACAATGAACAATGAACCCATTTCAGTCAAAAGCGAAATTAATTAGCCAGCATATTTATATTGACCACTATCGAAATTGAAATCTTAAGCTCGAGTTTATACATACCTATATATATTTATATACATATATACAAATGCATACATATACAGTTAGAGCTGCTGCAGCTGCTGCTGTCCAAACAGTCTGATAAATATCCTCATAAATTTTGTGCAACTCTTTTCTCTCCGTTAATTACAATGCACTTAATCAGTGGCCATGAAGCAAATGAAACTGAAACCTTAAAGCGCACAGACCAAGCAATACAATGAAAATCCATGTTTTTCTTGCATTTTCATTTTCTTTTTCTACTGCCTCGTTGTGCTTGAGATGTGCCACGGCCAGCTGCTCCAAGCTGATTGCGCTTTTATCTGAGCAGTGCAATGCGGCTGAAAGTGTTTAATGGCTAACAGCTTGGGCTCGTTACAAGGTTTTTAGACAACATACATTTTTCGCATAACTGTAGTAGCTTTGTAATGCACAAAAGCCATAAACAGATCCTTAACTTATTACTGAAGACTTGAAGAGTTGTATATGAAAATAAGTCAGCTAATCTGATTAAAACATGACAATTATTTATTTATTTAAAATAAAGCTTATAACTTTGCATAAGTATTTTTTTATTGCAACTGTACTCTATAATCTAATCTAGACAGTTTGAACTATTTGCTTTAGAGCTAAGTCTTAGTGAAGGTAAACTCTAAGCCATGACGTCTCCAGAGACAACTACAAGCTTATTTATTCAAATACATTAACGAAACGAGTGCAACATATGTATATATTATTGAGTGTAGATAAATGTAGAGAAAATGTGTCTCAATGATATTATTGAATGATATTATTGAAAAGCCCTTTTCACTGTATTAACTGAGGATATTTATTTAATTTGTACCAAAATCAAGTCAAATATAAAAAATATAAAAATTTTTGGTAGATAATGAAAACACTATTTTAAAGAATTTTTAAAGAAATTTGAACTATAGGTAAATTATAAACAAATAGGAAAATGTTTAATGTGGAATATTAGTAAAATTAATAAAACATAATTAATATTGTAATATATTAATTATGTTTCATTTATTTTCCTAAATATAATCCTAATCCTAAATATAATTTTAGTAAATTTGCAGAATAATTTGTATAGGAATTTTCATGCAAAAATAATAGAAAAATGTGTAATTGAAAAAATAGTACATAAAATTAAATATTAGTAGAAGCAAATAAGTCCAAAATAAGAATGAATTTTTAAGCAGCTTGCCTTTCAAATTTGAACAGCATATATAGTATTAATATACAAAAAAAATACAGAAAAATAATAAATTTAAATACAGCCCATTTTAGACAAATGACAAATGCCTGACTATATTTTTTATTTATTTTATTTTTTTTTTAAGTACCAAATATATTCAAAGATGTTAAATATGTTTGAGAGCACTTCTCAGTAGTTGTAATTAAACAGCAATCAAATCGCCACTATGAAAAGTGCTTATCAGCTAACGAGCTAATAATAATTGACATTTGAGTGTGTCAGTCAGCAGGTGCTCCAGCTGCTGCATCCAGCTGACTTTCCTATTGGGTGCCACAACAATGACAGGCGCAATATATTTCATTGAACTGCATTTTCACTGCCGTTGCTCGATATGTATGTGTGTGAGTGTGTGTGTGTATTTGTACAGCTTATGGCTTAATTGGCCAAAACGAAATCGAAACTGTTTGGCTGGAACCAGTTTGGCATTTGACATTTGATTTGTGTGCGGCAGCTGCGCACGCGTCCCACCCGGCGTATGCGTTATGGTTAATTGTGATAGGCGAACATATCACGCATACGCAGTGCGTTAAGTAGCCGTTATAATTTGAATGTTGGAATCTGCTGATGGCGAAGCGAATGTCTCCAGCACAATTGCCTCTCCCTCACACACACACAGACACAGACACACCTAAGCGCGTGCGCTCTCTCTCTCTCTCTCTCTCTCTCTCTTTCTCTGCACATCGTATATCTTTCTCTGTGCTTTCATTGGCGCACACATTCGCATAAATTTTCCGCTGTGCCGGTAAACGTCATTATAAAAGCCTCGGCACGCCAGTGCGGCGCAAACAATTCAAATCCAGTAACTGACGCGCAATGATGTTCGCTTTGGCAACGCGTTGTCGGTCCAGCAGGAGCCAGCGCCTGCACCTGCGCCTGCACCTGCTCCAGCACCTGTGCCTCTGCCTGGCCGCGTTCATGCTGATTGTAAGTAGTGCGACCGCCAAGGATCTTTACACAATTGGCCAGCGTTATTATTTTTTTGAATGTGATTTTGTGCCACAAGTTGCAAGTGATTTTTGTTTTTGTTGATGAACAAAAGAATATGTGAAAATTATAAAAACAAAAGGCAAACAGACAAAAAGCCAATGGAACATTCATTGCATGCAAAGTTAATAAAACCAAATAAAAGTAAAATTCATGAATTCATAACATGTAATAAATAATTAAACATATTGCGGAAACTCTGGTAACTCGGACGACACATCGACGTATTAAGTTAATAACCCTAATGAAGTTAATCAAAACGTTATTGACAGTTTGAAATATGCTTATATTTTACATGTATATCATAGAAACAATCCAAAATATACAGGGACATTTTCCTATAGCTAAAAATATTAAAAGCCTAACAGACTCATCAGAAATATATTTAATATATTTATTATATACCCTAAGCCCAATGAAACCAGATAATCTGAATATTGGTTTTGTTCATATACGAGCTCCATCATAAACTTTAGTTTAGCTAGAAAAACATTCGAGCAGGAAGAAGCATTGAAACCAGAAAAACATATCTAACTGTTGTTGGCCTACTCGATTTCAGCAAAGTTAATACTAAGTTAATACAATTTTAATACCAAGATTAGTAAGATGAATTCTATATAAAATCGAAACTGACATTAAATATGTTTAGCATTGATCAAGCCAAAATTTCTTGTCACTAGCGCAATATTTTGTCAAACAGATATAGTTTTATTCTTACATACATATACCTATTATATGTCTGTAATATTTATAGTAGATTTATATATTTGTATGCCCTGAAGTCATAGAAAAAGTATAGTGACATTCAAGAAAGCCTGATTTATTTATATATAAAAGGTCAAAAATAAGGTATAAAAGTTGTATGATATTTTTGAGTGAAGTATTCGCAATGAAGTCAAGAATTAAAAATATTTTACTAA